TGCTGGTGAGCAGCCAGCGAGCTTCCAGCGCTGGAAAGCTCTCACTCAGGGGAAGGGAAACTCGGTGGCCGCACGCAGTGGTCCTGGCCCAGATGGCTGCCCACCCAGAGAAGTTGCCCAGCTCATCCCAGAAATTACAGCAGAGTGGAGCATCCTTAGAGAGGGCACCTCAGCCCTGCCTGCACAAACCACCTCTTTCCACTCCCCCAGGGCTGATGGAAGGCTCCTTTCACCGCAGCACGGCTGGGGACATCCGCAGTGCCAGGGCTAAGTGCTGTGGGGAACAGGGTGGCTTTTCCAGCCTGGGGTCCCCAGCGCAGGGCTGGCAGGGACAGGGGTTGTCTGCTTTCCTTCCACGCATGTTAGATCAAAGCAAAGGAAGAAGGAAAAGATTCAATCTTGAGTTTTAAAACGGCAGCTCCTCCATGGCCCCTTCCCCCTGACACAAACACCGTCACGTGAAACGCTGATTTGATTCCCTAACTCTGAAATCACAGTGTGAGAAAGTGTGAGAAAGTAAGTAACCCCCCAAATGCCCCAAATTCTTCATGCTGAGGCACAGCCCTGGCCAAGTGAACGCGGTGCCCCAGCGAGGAGAGTTTCCCTGGGCGGGGAGGAGAGGAAAGCAAGCTGGAGCTTACCGTGGGAAGCGAGTAGGCAGAGCATGACCAGCAGCAGCCCAGGCCGGGGGGACGTCGCCTCCATGGCAGCTGGGGTGGCGAGGAGGAGCTCACCTCGGGAGAGCCACCCGCACACTGAGCAGCCCCGCAGCGCCAGCCGGACTCGCACACACAGGAAATTTCATTGAGATATTATGCGCAGCAATGGAGAAAACTGTGAGCACCCCCAGGAGGTGAGATGCAGCAGGGAACTGCAGGCAGCCGGGGGGAGCAGCAGCACCCCAACTGAGCACCCCACGGATGGGTGACACTTCAGTCTCCACCCATAAGCGCAGCAGTAGGTGCATGTGCTGGGTTTTTTTCCCTTAGAGCACCGCAGGGAGTAGCTTAGAGCAAGCTGGTCCCCCTGTGTGAGTTTTTGGGGTGCACAGGTAACTGAGGAGGATGCTCACCATGCTGGGGAACATGTGGGTGCTCAGCCATGAGGGGCTGCGTGCTGTCTCCATCCATTCCCCAACAGGAGCCAATCCCTTGGGGCCAGTCTCCAGCTTGCTTGATTAAAATGCACTTTCTTGTAATTCTTGTGTATTTCTGAGAATCAGGCAGGCAGAAACCCTCCTGGGATGAATGGGAGGCAGGCACAGGGAAGGGTAAATCAAAGCAGTGCCAGCTCAAGGAAGGGAACGGAGCTTTCCCCCAAAAAATGGGAGCAAAACATCCCCCTCCTGCAGCTCGTTTACACAGGGGGAAGCCTTTACTCTGCCCTTGAATAGCAAAGCAGCACCATGGGCTGCCTCAGGTCACTCCTGGAGTTTCACTTTGAATTCAAAAGGCATCAACAAGTTTTCCAGCGGCAGCTGAGGGCCGCCTCGTTTCAAAACGGTATTCCCCGGAAAATGAAGCCTGGAGACATATGGAGATTTACAAACCACAGGAAACTTTGCTGCTAACCTGTTCTGAATTTGGAACATGCAGTGAAACAGAAAAGTAGCTAATTACCATGTGGCTTTGTGGGTTTTACAGCAAACACTTTGTTATGCTCTCATAAAAAATGTAACCCTTGTCTGGCCAGAAGAAATTTGTTGCTGGAAGAAGGTATAGGCACAAAGTCCAGAGACTTGAAGACAATGGTTTATCACCCCGAGACCCCACCTCTGAGCTGAACCCTTAGGCAGGGTGGTATACTCTTGTCACCTCCCTGTCCCCAGGGTGCCCCCCCATGGTGGCACACCCAGAAGACAGCCTTCAGTAAGGATATCCAAGTGCCTGTGCAGGGCCAGATACAGCTGGAAGAGGGTTAGGACAGGCTGAACCTGACGGGCGGTGAAATTGTGGTCAGCAGATGATGGGACCTGCAGGAAGTCAATCCAGTTCTCTGAGATGCTCATGTTTGTTTCTCTCCTGAGCCACGGCAGCATCATCTCTGGGTATTTTCCATCCTACCACATTGCCACAAGGTGTTCCCAATGGCAAGGTGAGGAATCACACATGCCTCCTCCAAAGGCAGCGAAGCACGATGGGGTTCAGCCTCTGGCTTTACCTCTGCCATGGGCTGCTCCCTGGTGTTAACAGCAATGGTAAAAACTGAGTGAAAAGGAGAGGGATCCCACAAAGACATGCTTTGCTTCGGAACAAGGGTGCAATTTAATCTCTGTGCATTTGGCTGTGTACCCAACAGTTACCTGGAGCTGCATCTGCAGCCACGGCTCATTTAATTTTGAGCCTTGCATCCTGTTCGTGTCTCTTGGCAGGGTTGAGCCCATGTTGGTCATTGACCTTGACAGCTCCAGCCTTCCCCAGCCAGCTCCAGCAGCTGCAGAGCTGATCCCTCTATGGTGCTTAACACGATGTCCCCATGTCCCACAGGCCACCACCACAGTGTACGTCACCATCCTGGATGAGAATGACAATGCTCCCACTTTCCAGCAGCAGCTGTATGAGGTGACCCTTGATGAAGGTCCTGCCACACTCAACGCCACCCTCGTCACTGTCCAGGCCCAGGACCGGGACGAGGGACCCAACAGCACGGTTGTGTACACCATCACTGAAGGAAATATCTTGGGTACCTTCCACATCGACAGCTCCACGGTCAGTAAGGATGCCAGCCCCATCACAGACATGTCCCTGTCCCACTCCCTTCACTCAGAGCCACTCTCCCGTCGCCTTGCAGGGACAGATCTGCACAGTGAAAGAGCTGGACTATGAAATCAGCCACGGGCGCTACACCTTGATCATCACCGCAACTGACCAGTGCCCCATTGTCTCACGCCGGCTGACATCAACCGCCACGGTAGGGAGCTGCCAACGGGGTTGCAGCACTGTGGCCTTTTCAGGGTCAAGGAGTTCCCCCTCAGGCCAGCAGTTTCACATCTCCTTCCCAGTGGTTACCAGTCGCTTTTCCCAGCTGTGGCCAGTTTACCCAGGTGCTGTCGCACTGCTCCCTCATGGGGATTGCAAAACAGGGACATGGGCAAGGGATACTTGTGGGTTAATTAGCCCAATTACTTGGTCCTGCAAGGTCACAAACAGAAGAAATTAACGGAATTACTTTTAAGTTGCATTATATTGTCTTTAGAGGTTCCCTTGGTTCTTCTTGGAGCTGCTAGTCTGCCCTCCCCTCACTTTGAGCAGTGCACTAAGTTCAGGTCACCGTGATCCAGGAGAAATGGAATAGCTACAGAGAGAAGCAACAAAAATGGCTAAAGGCTTTAAATAACCTCCATACAAGGAATGAAAAAGGAATTTAAAAAGCAGATAAATAATCTGAGAAGGTAAAGATGAAGCAGAAATTAATGCTTTAGCAATGCTTTACCATCTACTGTCCCTTCAGGCAAGAAGAACAAATGTTTTGCACAAATTGAATACACTGATTATTTTTGTGACTGAAACCAAAATTTGACAGGATGTACATCAGACATTGTCCATGCCCAGCTTGATTTTGGGGTCTGCAGGTTGAAGGGATCAGTTAGATCTTCTACCTTGGCTCCCTGTCATGGACCATTATGCTTCACCCAGATATCAAGCTAAGTGTTTTGTAGACCCACAAAATAAGCTAAGTCCTTGTATGCAAATAAAACTGAGAAACTGAAGGGGAAATAACAGTGTGGGAGATTTCCATGGATAAAATCTGTCCCTGCAAGCCTGGCAGTGCTGTGCTCCACGCTTGGGCAGACAAGAAGCCTTCAGCTGTGTGCATCTGATACTGCTGGAGATACTGGGCCAGGAAAACTGCAGCGGAAACCTCAAGACCTGGGGTTTAACTGCCAGCAGGGAAGCCAGCATCTGCAGGCGTGCTGCAGGCAAAGGCAGAGCTTTCCTTGCTCTTGGCCCAAGCAGAGACACAAACTTGGAAACCCCTTCAGCAACAAGTACCAAAGCTAGCAGGGATAGGAAACACCCTTCCTACACAGCTCAGGGAGTTTGTGCCAGCACTGTATGAAAACATAGCTTTTTAGGAGGAGATTTAGTGATTATTTAAGATCCCGAGTGATGGGAAATCCATCATCCTGATAAGGCATGACAGTGTTTGTTTTTTCCACTGCTAGGAAACGGAGCGGAGACTCAGATACACTGTCCTGTAAAGATTAGATTTAGCCAGTAACAAATGCCCATTGGATGGATTTTACTGTCCTTTAACCCAGGAGGTTGGAAAGCTCCTCATTTTCAGTATCTTTCTTGTAACCACCTGTACCACCAAATCTTGACCTTTTATTAGTCACTGGAGAAACTCTTCCTCAGGCAGAGTTTCTCTGCTGTGAAAGTTCCCTGAAGCCTAGCAAAGGGATAACCCTCTTTGCAATATAGTAATAGTATAAAGCTATATAAATGTCTTTTATGTAGTGTGACTCAGTTAAAAAGCAAGATTCGAGTTTGTTGGATCCCCAGCTTCACCAGCAGCCCCATGGTCTACTCTGTCCTAAAACTGTTGATGCTTTCCCCTTTTGAGATCTGTAGGATTGATTTCTAGCCAGCTAAGTGTGTCATGGGAAGGGATGCTAAGAGGGGAAACATGTCCACAGTGCTGGTGGTGTTTTGTGTTGGAATAAGGATGCAAGCTGCAAATTTTTTAAAGTTTACTCAGCATTAGGAACAAAGCCCTTGGTGGAAGAAAAGGAGTGAGCCAGTGTGCAGCTGGCTGCAGAGATCGGGTCTCTCCGAACTCATGGCTTTTGTCTATCCAGCTTGGGTTTCAGGTTGTGAATGTGGAGAACATTTGGCTTTTGTGTTGACTTCTCCATCATGGTATGTGGCCCAGTGGTTAAGAAGAGCCCCACCTTTGTGCAGCTGGAGTTTCATAGTGTCACTGTAGGGTGGGCATGATCAGGAACAACTGAGTTTGAGTCTCTGAACTGTGAGGGGGATGTTCAATGAGCCAGAAATATGGGAGAGATTTTGCAGTGACACTTGTCCATGGCTTCCCATGCTCATGTCCAGCGGGCTGGTCTCCCCTTCTGTCCCTCTCCTCTCACTGCCCTCCACCCTCTCTCCCTGACCACAGGTGCTGGTGAACCTCAATGACATCAATGACAACCAACCCACTTTCCTGCGGCCGTACGAGGGTCCCTTCGATGTCACAGAAGGGCAGCCTGGCCCACGCATCTGGACATTCCTGGCCCACGATGGCGACTCGGGACCCAGTGGGCAAGTGGAGTACAGCATCATTGCTGGGGACCCCCTTGGTGAGCAGGGACATGGGGGCATCACTTCTCCTTCTGGCTGTCCTATGGAGGAATCTGGCTTGCAGGAGCTTGGGCGGAAGTGTTTCAGAAAAGCCGTCCTCCCTCCCAGCACTTCTGCGAATTCAGCCTTTCGACACCAGGAAATCCTGTTTTAAGCAACAGGAAACTTAACCTGTTCGTGGCCAGCCAGGGGATGGCCGGGGCTTGTGCAAGAGAGGGGGGAAATCTGCTAAACAATAAAAGCAAAAAAATAAAAAAGTCAAAATAAAAAAGGCAAAAAATCAGACCGCGGAAAGAGAAACCCAGAGCCGCAAGCGCACAGCTCCATCCCCTCATGCCCATGGGGTTTGCAGGGCTTTTGGGGACTGAGTTGTTCTGCAACCCATGGTGAATCTGTAGCTCCAGCTCCACCAGCACCCCAGAGCAGGTGGCAGAGGAGCTGTGGACAACCCGAACCATGGGGACATAGGGCTGTCCCTCTGTGAATGGCTGCTGACCTTAGCCCAGGGTATCTGGAAGGCAGAGCCCAGTCCCATCTCCCAGCTGACCCTGCTGCAAAGCTTTTCCAGAACAACCAGGACACAGCTCCTCGGCTCGGGGCAGGGTCCATGCCATGTAGTCCACCCTGCTCTGGCCACCACAGGGCATAAACAGGTTCTTGAAGGGCTGTTGACTTCTTCAGAAAGGCACAGTCAAAAGGCACCAGCATCTCTTATTTGGCCATTCAACCCATCCCCTGCTCCTGCTGGTACCTGTCTGCCACTGTCCCCCCATATCTGCAGTAATGGGGCATGGTGTTGTCCCCAAATCCACCATGGTTCTGTCCCCCGGCTCCAAAACAAGCCATTCCCCTTGGGAGCCAGGCCATTCGCAGCAGCACAGCACGAGCCAGGACCCCGCTGTCTCTGGCAGGAGAGTTTGTGATCTCCCCAGTGGAAGGGGAGCTGCGGGTGCGGAAAGATGCTGAGCTGGATCGTGAGAACATCGCCTTCTACAACCTCACCATTGCTGCCCGGGACCGGGGGGTGCCCCCCCTCAGCTCCACAGTGAGTCCCCCAGGGTAACATGGGGGGCTACAGGGTGCCATCCCCCGTCCCCAACTCCTTCCTCGGGGTTTCCTTTGCCTTCATTCTCCTCCTCCCCTTGTCCCTGAGGCTTTCCTCCCCCAGACTGTAGTTGGCTGAGTGGGGAAGGATGGGAGGGATGGAAATAGGTGCCACATGTCTGCACTCCTCTCCCTGGCAGATCCTGGTGGGCATCCATGTGCTGGACATCAACGACAATGACCCCGCGCTCCTCAACCTCCCAATGAACCTCACCCTCAGTGAGAACACCCCTGTCTCCAGCTTCGTCACCCGTGTCCTTGCCCGGGATGCAGACAAGGGGCCAAATGCCCTCCTGACCTTCGACATAACGGCGGGCAACATGGAGAATGCCTTCTACATCAACAGTACCGTACGCCCCCGGGGGGTGGGATGGGGTGGGATGCCAGGATGTGGAGGGTGTGCACCCCTGACCCCAGAGTCCTGGCTTCCCTGGGCACCCGTGGGTGCCATCTGGCATCCTTGCCCTGGCAGCAGATGCCCCAGGGGAAACGCTCCTCATGTCCCTTGTACGTATTTCCTCCCTTTTTTTCTTGGTAGAGCGGTGTCATCTACGTAAACCGCCCACTGGACAGGGAGCGAGTGGCAGAGTACAGGCTGACCATCACAGTGAAGGACAACCCTGAGAACATACGCAATGCCAGGCGGGTAATTATGGACACTGCTGGAGCATCCAGCAATGCAGGCGGCAGGGCAGGTGGGAGAAGGGGTTGCTGCCGTGTCCAAAACCAGGTGGTGCGTTTACCCACAGCATTTCCAATAGCAACCTCGTCCCCCAAAAGTATCCAGGGGCCACAAGGAGGTTGCTGCAACCCCCTTCCCACCACAGAACAGGACCAGTATGATTTAGGGCAAATCCAGAATTGCATGTTGACTCCATGCAACAGCAGTAGACATTACAGAAGGTGGGACAAATTTGGGCTGGAGAGCTGGACAACCACAAAGACAGCAGAGCATCCTTTGGCCCTGCCAAGATGTCCCATACATCAGGGTACAGGCTGGTTCAGGGAGCACAGCACCGTGGTTGCACAGAGCTCCAGCTTTGACCAGCACCAAGCTGGAGGTGGGAGAGGTGGGAGGTCTTAAGGAAAGGACGATGCAGTCATCGCCCTCTTGTCTCTGTCTTTCTTTAGGATTTTGACCTACTGGTCATTTCCATAGCGGATGAGAATGACAACCACCCTCTCTTCACGCAGAGCTCCTACCAGGCTGAGGTGATGGAGAACTCACCCCCAGGTAGGTCTCTCTTTAGTCCCTTACATGGCTCCTGGACACTCCCTTTGGGGCCAGGTGAGGGGAGGTGTCTCCTAGCTGTCATGGAGGAGACACAACGCTGAGCAGGGAAAGGCTGGGATGCAACACAACACTGGTCAGCGGGATGGGGATGCTAAGTATGAGGGGCTCCTGCCAACCACCCAGGGAGGTCAGCCTCGAGTAGACTGTAGCTTTGGTCTGGTGCAAACCCTTCCTGCACAGGTCAGGCACAACTCTGTGAGAAATCAGCCACATTTGGGAATTGCTCAGCTGCAGAGGTGCCCATGGTCAGAGCCAAGCCCTGGGGTCAGCCTTGAGGTCACCAACCTGCCTGGTCCCTGTAGGGGATGGGGCGCCATCTCTCCATCACCAGCACCTGGAGTCGCCTCACTCCAGGAGTTAGAGATAAAACAGTCCAGCCTGTCCAGGTAGACATTTCCCAGCCAAAGATCTAGAAATTATTTTTTTTTTCCTTCCTATCATTCAAATTGCTCCCTGCTCCAAGACCTCAGGTACCTCTTTGTCCCACCAGCAAGGGACATCCAAGGCGAAGGGTTTGGGTGCCTCCAGGTGATGCCTCAGCGGCAGGGTACTGGTGCTGCCTGACTGACGGATGTGTCTGTCTGTTTGTTTTTAGTCGGACGTCCCACCGCCTCACCTGACCTCACAAGTCGGTCTGCAAGGCTGCAGCAGCCACCACCCCCTGCGAGACCCCACTCTGTCACCTCCTCCATCCAATCATTGCTATCACTCATGCGTCACCAGGGCGGGAGGGGGATGGGGGGCTCTGCAGGGGTCTGCCATGCTCTCTAACCCTCATCATCCCATCCAGGGACTCTGATCACGGTGCTCAATGGACCCATCCTAGCTCTGGATGGTGACGAGGGCAGCAACGCTGTGGTGACCTACCAGCTCCTGGAGGCATCCCTGGACCCCTTTGTTATCGACAACAGAACAGGTGGGGTGGCTCAGCAGGTCCCTGTCCCCAGCCCGTGGCCACCAGGCAGCCATGGGGTCTTATCACCGGGCTTTTCCTCTTCTCCAGGTGTCGTTTCAGTGAAGCCCGGTGGCGTGATAGACCGAGAGGCTTTGCTGAACCCTCACCTGGAGTTCACGTTGGTGGCTCATGACGTGGGGGGTCTGAACAGCACCACCAGCCTGGCAGTGACCATCCTGGATGACAATGACAACCACCCCATCTTCCAGCCGGCCTCCGTCACAGTGTGGCTGCAGGAAAACAGCCCCCCAGGTCAGGAGAGGGCTGGGACTAGATGTGAGGGTGGGTGATGGGGAGACCTGGGTGTCCCCCTGGGACTGTGAAGAGCCAGCTTCCAGTGTCAGAGCTGGTCAGGATGGGGTTGAAGGGAAAATTTAGGAATTGGGACTGCCCATGTTGCTTGACAGTATTTGCCTTGGGACCGGGGATGTGTTGCTGCTGCCCTCCAACCCTCTCTTGTGAGGGCTGTGTCCCTGCCTTTCCAGGCTTCTCCGTCCTCCAGGTGATGGCCACAGATGCTGACAGTGGCCTCAACCAGCAGCTGGATTACCGGATTGAGGGTGGTGGCCAGGACAGGTTCCTGATTGATGCCACCACAGGGGTGATCCGTGTGGCCAACATCAGCATTGACCGGGAGGAGCGGGATGCCTACTGGCTGACGGTGGTGGCCGTGGACCAGGGCACACCAGCACTCTCAGGCACCGCCACCGTCAGCCTCTTCATCAATGATGTCAACGACTGCCGGCCCGAGTTCATCAACCCCATCCAGACAGTCAGCATCCCTGAGTCGGCTGCCCCTGGCACTGTGGTGGCCAAGGTGACCGCCATCGACCGAGACCTCCACCCTCGCCTGGAATACTACCTGCTGGAGATCGTGGCCCGTGATGACACAGACGCGCTGGTGTCTGACCAGCAAGGAGTGTTCGCAGTGGATTTTAGGACAGGTAGGAGAGTGGGAAGGGCTGTGCAGGTGGCGCAGATCCTTCTACTCTCTTCTGCTTCTACTTCTTCTCTGCCTGGAGGTAGGTGTCCAAGGCACTAGGAGATGATGCTCCCTTCCTGCCTCCCCGCTCTCCTCCTCTGGCTGCCCCATCTGACCCTCCCCTGTCCTCTCTCCCCTGGCCGACCGACTTAACTAACCCTTTTCTTTCCTTTCCTTTCCGGCTCTCAGCCTGCCAGGTTTGTCTCTGTGTCTGTGCTCATTTCTCTCTCCACGCCATCCGTCACCTCCCTCCATCTCACCCATCTCCATTGCAGGTGGCCTCGCTGGGGGCTGGGGGCTGCTCAGCCTTGGCAGACCGAACATGGGCACCCTCACTGTGGGGAGTGGGAGGGGAGTCTGGGGTAGGTGATGGGCTCTGCCCTTGGGGGAGGGGGGCCAGGAGCTCCCTGCATCTGTTTTGGAAGCACAGAGCTGATCTGGGAAAGAAAAATGCCCTTGTTGGAAAGGATACTGGACAGGACTCTTAAAGATGCCCAGATACTGAGCTAAGGTTGATGGGGTCATGCAGGGGAGCAGCAGCAGTTGCTCCCAAACCCCTCTCATCTGCGCATCCCAAACCCTTACCCTGGCTGAGACAGCATGAGAACCTTTTAGCAGGGCAGAGCAAGCAGGAAGGCAGGAGATGGAGAGCAGAGTGAGAGAAGCTGTAGCTATTGAGTGTTTTCCCTGTTTAGCCTTTGGGGAGAGGCAGGAGATCAAGTGCAACAGCGGGTGCAGCAGTCAGCTGGTACAGACTGGTCTGCTGAGGGTCCTCGGTGGTGGGGTGCAGGCATAGCCTGTGACTCCCATCCTTTTGGCGTTCCCAGGAGCTGTGAAGATCAAAACTCCCCTCAACCGGGAACTGGTGGCCACCTACGAGGTCACCATCTCCGTCCACGACAATGCCAGCGAAGTCATTGACCACTCAGTCAGCGTGCCCAACGGTAAGAGTGGGCTCTACCCAGGGAGCACAGGGCCAGGGCTGGCAGCTACCAGGGGCTGGCACAGCCTTTCCTAGGCACCAGCACAGCTTCTGGGTAGCTGGCAGCTCTCCCGCCTCCCTCTCCATCCACACCTACTGGTTAGCAGTCCTGGACCAGCTCCCATCAGGTTCAGATTCACCTCTGAGCCCTCCTTTAGCAAATGGTCCAGACATTCCAGGGCTCCACTGGGGATGGAGAGGACCATGTGCCTATAACTGTACCATGGGAGACACTCATTTCTTCGTTACCATCGCCATCATGTCTTGCCACCCTGCTCCTGGTAAATGCAGGCCCATGTGCGAGAAGGCACACACAGATCAGGAGTAGGTCTGAAGTAGGTGAGACTGTCCCACAGCCAGCTCAGGGCATAATGGCTTTGCAGAATATTGCCATTTTTCTTGATGAACCAACTCCATTTAGTTGGCTTTCCTGGAGTTTCATGATTGTATCTTTACAACCCTCCTTTCTGCCATCCTTCCTCCCATCTCTTTCTCACTTGTCCTCTTCCTCCTCTCTTCCCCTGTGGTCTTCACCATGGCCACAGCCAAGCTGACAGTCAATGTCTTGGACGTCAATGACAACACACCCCGTTTCCGACCCTTTGGCGTCACCTATTTCACCGAGAGGATCCTGGAGGGAGCCACACAGGGCACCACACTCATCTCCATCTCAGCAGTGGACCCGGACAA